TATGGAGCTGAAGAGGACAAGAGAGATTTAGCATTTCTTCAAAATGATGTCTAATTTTAAATATCCGCCGTTGGAAAACGCTGCTGGATAATTGGAAGGAGAACGTGCCCGCCTTGCTCACAACTGCAGTCTGCCTGGCCATCTGCTCTGCCAGCAACAAATCCTGGATTGATCCACGAGTGTGATTAATTCAGTGAGGCCGGCGGGATCAAGGGATCAGCTACAGACAATATTTATACCCCACCTCCAACTGTGAATGTGCAATTGTTTGGTTCAGGAGGACAAAACAAATTGTATAGCTGTATTACTGGGAGAATAGGAGAATAGAGGCATCCACTCAACAGCCTATTTTTTCCTTGGATGGCCCCATTCCAGGGTCTCTAAGTAGAGCCCAGCATAAGCCCCCATTCCCTGTCTGGGAGGTGAATTGGAGCTGTTCTCATTTCACAGAGAGTTCTGCATCGTCAGTGCTGCTCTTGCCTCCTTCCTGCAGTTTAGTCCTAAAATCTTGGAGGTACTGGCTCTGTGCCCTCATCCACATGGGCTGGAGAGGCAGATGTGGAGTGTGAGCCAGGCACTCCACCCTCCTCCCTGTGCCTGGTGGGAGAACTCCCACGGACACAGAGCCGGAGCGGGGCAGGACTGAAATCTTCAGAACAGCCAGCAGGGTGGATTTCTAGCACTGGTACAGCTTTGAGCTGATTTGACAATAGGGATGTAGCTGGAGAGATCAAAAGCAAGATTTGTGAAGGAATTTAGATGTAGATGAAGGCCTTTAAAATCCTATTTGCTGTGATTTAAGTGTGTGAGTGCACATTGGGCCCGAAGGTGCTGTGCTCAGGGACACACGGAATGTTTGTGGCAGAACAGGGACACCAAAGTCTGGCTGGTGAGAAGGCACTGAGCCCTGAACAGCTTATTTTTTGGGGAGCCAGAAACAATAAGGATGTTAATCCCCATCCCTGGAATTGTTCAAGGCCAGGTTAGATGGGCTTGGAGCAACCTGGTCTAGTGGGAGGTGCAGGGGGGTGGAACTGGATGATCTTTAAGGTCCCTTCCAACTCAAACCGTTCTGGGATTCTGGGGTTCTAAGAGCTAAGGACTAAGGGTGACATTTTTGGAGTCATCATTGCTACAGATAGGCTAACATAGAATGTTTGGGAAAATCCCTCTCTTTGTTAATGAGCAGCCAAATCCCGAAACACTCTATAAAATGGTTCTTGAAAATACAATTATTGCTTGTCCACACACCGGTATCATGCCTTGGTCTCAGAACTGTATGGAGAGCCATTAGCAGGAGCTCTGTGCAGCAAGAGAAAAACAAACCCTGTTGTTTAGAGGACAGGTTGAATATTCAGTATTTAGCCTATTAAATGAAAACTGTTGCCATCTGACAGTAAATGTTGGAGGGATTGAGGCCACGGGTGGATTCTGTAATGAGTCATGGTGAGAGATGCCTGGCAGTGTCTGTGCTTGGAAATTGGTTTTCAAATGTGATCGTTTCTCTCGAGGCTCACTTTCATGTGCAAATGAATTTATAATGTTCATTTGTTTATGTGGCCATTACATAACGGGAGAGCCTAAACAGGGATTCTGGAGCTGAGTTAATGGGTGCTACAGGAAAGGATATTTGCCAGTCTGGACTTGCAAGTCCAGGGATCTTTTCATCCTGTGTATCACAGACTGCACCAACACCCCCACCCTGTCACACCATGCCCATATAAAAAGTCCCTCTCCCTCCTTTTTATAAGTCCCCTTAAACTGTAGATAAATATTCAGATTTTCCTCTCCTGAAAACCTGGTAAGCAAAGTCCTTATTGAAGTCAGCAGGATTTTTGTTACCAAGTTCCACAGTATTAGATTCTTGTCTGGTGTCTGTAAGTGAAATGCCAATTTTCCCAGGGATATTATTTTTAATGTTGAAGGATGTGGTTAACCTGCACATTTCTACCGTGATAATTCAGAGAAATTGCTCCATAATCTTCCCTCACAGCTCTTTGCCAAAATCTTCCCTCTGAACAGGCTGTAACACACTGAATTATGAGTGATTATATGGCTGTTTTCCGATAAGGACAAGTACTTGAGAGGGATTTAAGATGAAGTGAACAGACACTGACATTTTCCCTTGGGATTCCAATCAGGATTAAACTCTGTGTGTCCAGACAAAAGGGAAAGTGCATTAAAAGCTGTGGGCCATCTCCAGAGCTCCACTGTGGCTTCCTGGCATTGTTTACAAAGTTTAATCTGAGAAAATTCTGACAAAACACTCAATTGTTGTTTGATTTGAGATCCCAAATAAATGAATGAAATGGGAATTGATTAGACCCCTTCCTACAGAAGTTGCTTTTCATTTCCTTTTGTGTTATCTTAAAAAAACCCCAACCTCTAATACAAGAAATCCTTCAGTGCACAAATCTTTGTTGTGCAAGATTACAGCTGCCTTCCGCTTTTCCTGACAGCATAATTGCAGTTGGATGGTGTGCCAGCACCCGAGGGAATAAAACACCGCATTCCTTGAGGCAGAGTCTGGATGAATTGCAAGTGCAAATACGTGGCTGACACACCTTTTTACTTCTGATACTGCATATCCCCGTTGCACAACATTCTGACGTACAGGAAAACACTGAATATACGGCCGGCAACAGCACACCACCTTTGCTTGTTTGGGTGTGGAGATTTAGTGCAGATTTGTGTGCATTTCTGTGTCTCAAAGTACAAATTCCTGTTACAGCTGAGCATGGTGGCTTGGAGTGTGTCTGGTGAGGAGCCAGAGCTCCTTCATGAACAGTATTAATAGATGTGGTGCCACAGCAGCTGTAATTCCACTGGGGTTTGTCCCCCCAGGGAGGCTCGAGGTGTAACAAAGCAGGGTTGGTCACTGCATCTGGGTGGGTTTTAGGGAAATATTTACCCTGAAGGATCAAACTCCTGGTTCTTGGCAGGGACACCTTCCACCACACCAGGTTGCTCAGGGCTGACCTTCCCTAAAGTTTATTTTAAAATCTATTTTCTGGGTTTCATGTGGAGGTTTCATCGGTCATAATGACACCACAGTGATTTTATTGGAGTAGTTTGTGGGCAAGATGAGCGATTTTATACTGAAACATCAACTTTATCTTTGCAACAACTAATTTTCTACAGACAGCTCATTTGCTGCAGTTTTCCCTGTATTTTGTTGAAGGAAATAAAGCATCTGCTCATCTCTCATTGTGACACTCCATTAATTGCTGTAACGCTTTCCGGCAGATAGCACCGGAAAATATTATTTACTGTTTGGCAGCTGTTAGTTTTATGGAAATTATTCCTCACGCTGCTCCACAGGAAATGACTGCAGTGATGCCACCCCAGCTTGAAAGGTGTCACTGTGACTTTTATATGTCCCTTTGGAAGGACAGTGTGTGATTTTGTCCTCAAACTCATTTCTCATCTTGCTGTTTCCTTTGAGCAGGCTCCAAGCTGCATCGATTGGGATCGTATGACCAAACACCCCCTTCCCTGGGGCACACACAGTGCACCCTTCTCCAGCGTTTCTTCCTGAATTTGCCAGCTCCTTTTTCTCCAGACATACTTTGTGCTGACCAGGTAATCTTACACAGCCAGATAAGGACAGGACAAGGGGGAATGGATGTAAACTAGAAGAAGGATTTAGATTAGATACTGGGAGGAAAGTCTTTCCTGTGAGGGTGGTGAGGCCCTGGCACAGGCTGCCCAGAGAAGCTGTGGCTGCCCCTGGATCCCTGGAAGTGTCCAAGACCAGGCTGGATGGGGCTTGGAGCAACCTGGGATAGTGGAAGGTATCCCTGCCCATGGCAGGGGTTTGGAAGGAGATGGGCTTTAAGGTCCCTTCCAACTCAAACTCCTGGAAAAGCCGGCAGTTGATGGCTTGGACAGGTGCAGTGTTTGCTGCCTGGATAGCCAGGCCCAGGGAGTGGTGGAGAATGAGTCTAATGGTGTTCCCAGGGAACAGCGTTGGGCCCAGTCCTGTTTAATATCTTTATTGATGGTCTGGATGAGGGGATTGAGTCTATTCTTAGTAAATTCGTGGATGACACCAAGTTGTGTGGTAATGTCGATCTGCTGGGGGGCAGGAAGGCTCTGCAGAGGGATGTGGACAGGCTGGATCGATGGGCCAGAACCAGCGGCGTGAGGTTCAAGACTCTGGGTTTTACACTTTGGCCACAATAACCCGAGGCAGGGCTGGGGGCAGAGTGGCTGGAAAGTTGCAAAGAGCCTGGGGGTGCTGATCAACTGCAACTGGACATGAGCCCAGCTGTGCCCAGGTGGGCAAGGAGGCCAACAGCGTCCTGGCTAGGGTCAGCAAGTGTGGCCAGCAGGACCAGGGCAGTGACTGACCCCTGTACTCAGCACTGATGAGTGCCCTCGAGTGCTGTGTCCAGTTCTGGGCCCCTCAGTTAAAGAAGGACATTGAGGGGCTGGAGTGTGTCCTGAGAAGGGAATGGAGCTGGGAAGGGTCTGGAGCAGCAGGAGGGGCTGAGGGAGCTGGGGGGGCTCAGCCTGGAGAAAAGGAGGCTCAGGGGGGACCTTCTGACTCTGCAACTCCCTGACAGGAGGGGGGAGCCGGGGGCGGGTCAGGTTCTGCTCCCAGGGAACAGGGACAGATCAAGAGGACTTAGTCTAAAGCTCTGCCAGGGAAGGGTTAGATTGGACGTTAGGAAGAATTTCTTCACAGAAAGTATGATTGCGCATTGTAATGGACTGCCCAGGGCTGTGGTGGAGTCCCCATCCCTGGAGGTGTCCAAGGACCGACTGGACGTGGCACTCCGTGCTCTGGTCAAAGGTTGGGTCGACAGTGGCACAGGTCTTTTCCAAGCTCAGTAATTCTTTGAATCTGCGATGCCCCTATTCTGTTACAATCCCCTCACGCTCCACAACCGCATTTTAACCCAAACCCCCCTCCCCGTTCTCGCCCCCTCCCCTCGCACGCCCCTCACGAAATGGCGGCGCGGGCGCGGCCGGCAGGGGGCGCTGCGGGCGCGGCCATGGCGGCTGCGCGGGCGGGTCCTGAGGCGCCCGGCAGCCCCCGCGCCCGCCGCCGCCATGGCCTTCACGTTCGCCGCCTTCTGCTACATGCTGGCGCTGCTGCTCACGGCCGCGCTCATCTTCTTCGCCATCTGGCATGTGAGTGTGGGGAAACGCGGGATGCGCCCGGCCCGGGAACGGGCCCCGGAGAGCCCCCGGGCGGCCCCGGAGAGCCGCGGAGGGAGCGGGGGAGCCGCATCCGGAGCCGCCCTCAGAGGGGGAATCGGCCTCTGTGCGGATAAAATGGGTTTTTGTACGGGCAGATGGTGACTGGATGGGGGGAATGGCTTCACGTGGACAGAGGGCAGGGTTAGATGGGATATTGGGAGGAAATTCCTCGTTGTGCGGGCGGTGAGACCCTGGCACAGGTTGCCCAGAGAAGCTGTGGCTGCCCCATCCCTGGAAGTGTCCAAGGCCAGGTTGGACGGGGCTTGGAGCAACCTGGGATAGTGGAAGGTGCCCATGGCAGGGGGCTGGAACTGGAGGATCTTTAAGGTCCCTTCCCACCCAAACCATTCCATGATTCCGTGGTTTTTTCTCGAGCCCTGCACTTGGAGAGCAGCCGAACAGGTCCCAGCCAGGGGAGGATGTGATGCTTGGCAGGCATTTGTTCTCTAGAAGTGGCTTTTGTGCTTTTTTTTTTTATTATTTTACTTTTTCCTTGTTTTTACGGCGTGAAAAGCTCGAGTGTTCACATGCTTGTTTTTTTTAATGGATGCACCTTTTGGACATATAACCTGCTCTAGGTGACCCTGCCGAGGGGGTTGGACTGGGTGATCTCCTCCCAGCCCTAAAAATTCTGTGATTCTGTGATATATGTGGGATCAGCACTTACTTAGACAGTGAGGCAAAATACTTGACAGCTTTTAAGCTTGCTGTTGCTTTTTCTGGATTAAGGAAGCCCATCTCTGGTTCCTGCTGGCCACCAAGGTAGCCCTGTGTGAGGTTTGGGGTCTGGGGTTAAGAACTGATGGGAGAGGATGTGGGAAATTTGTTGCTGGTGGGGAGCAGGAAAAAGATGGAGAGTGGGCAGAGGTCTTTGAATACCTGAAGAATCTTCTGCTTTCTTTTTTGTAACCCCCATTTCCCATGTGTTTCATCTGTGGGTTTATGATGTTAAAATGTCCCTGAACACAATGGCAGCAGTTCTGTGACAGAATTCCACTTTTCGTGGATAAAATACACTGTTGCTCCAGGACTGAGCAATCACAACTGTTTCATTTTCTTTCCCCCTCAGATTATAGCATTTGATGAACTGAAGACTGATTACAAGAACCCCATAGACCAGTGTAATACACTCAATCCTGTAAGTAGCACACTAGACTTTCTGTTTTGTTAAATAAATATATGTAAAGTGCTTTTTTTTTTTTTTTTGGTCTTATCTTGATGCAATCTACCTAGGCAATAGAATTGCATCTGGGTTGACAAAACCTCGCTGTTGGTAGAAGTTCTAGGGAAATTCTTTGTCTGATTCTTTACTTTCAAGTTGAATATTCTGACTGTTATTAATCTGCTGGTGATCTTGTCAGCTGTCATACTAACATTCTTTCAATCTGCTTTCCACACTTTCGGCACAAAGACAGTTGAAAAGGTCAAAAAGATTAAAAGAGTCAAAATTGCATTAAAGGTGTGTACTGCTTTTCAGTTTCATGTTTTTTGACGCCACTCCCCTCTCATTTTGTTAGGAACATTTGTAATACTGTTAAGCTCTTTTGTTTAGCCTGCCTGTTCATCTGCTCGTTCTTTGTTCCTTGGGGTTTATAACAACCTCATGGGTTTCCATGTTTTGTGCAAGAACAGTTCTGCTTGCTCACCCAGCGGCGTGGGGAAAACTGTTACATGCCTGTCAGGTGTCAGAAAGAAACCGTGTTGTTTCAAGCCAGGTTTACTGAACTCTGAGGTTAGAGGAGAGCAGTTGTTTGCTTTAAGCACTGACCAAGTCAATTCTGATGTTTTTTGGAGGATTTAGGTGGGTGGAAGGCGATAGGGATTGTCTTCACTTCTGTATTTTGTGTTCCAGGATCAGGGGTGTGTCCCGGGGTCCTCTCTTGGATGCAACTCTGACCCTCCTTGGCTTAGGAAAAGAATTTGAGGCCAACTCTTTGCCTGCATCTCTTACAGGCCAGCAGCAGAGGGGAGGCTTGCTGAAGGCCACGCAGTTTGATCCTGCAGGATTTTGTGCATCTCTCCTGGTTTTCACGCTGTGTGTGCCCAGGCCGAGGGAGGGCGGAGGGGTCAGCACAGCAGCGTGGCCTGGGCTGAAACTTTAGTGTGGTTTAAGTAAATTGTGCAAGTTAAAGACGAATTTACAGTAGCTGGAAGGGGGGAAAAAAAAACAAACCACAAAAAAGCATCTTAGGTTTACAGCACACAAATTAAAGTGGATATTGCAGCGTGAGGAGGGTGGGCAGGAGCAGAGGTGCCAGGCAGAGGTTGCAGCTCGGAGAGGGGCTTTCCTGCTCGGAGAGCTGCGCATTTAACAGTTTCCCTCGCTTGGTCTGTTCCAGTCATTCCTGCTGCAGTGTGGGAGAGGCCAGTGCTCATTACATGGATGCATTATGGTCTAACTGCAACCTCTGTAGTGCTAAAATGCGCATGTTTAACCAGATCTGAACCCCCTGCATGGAGTGTCCTTTACATGGCAGCTTTGTCACCTGGAAGGCTGAAATGACTTCATGTTTGCTGTTCCTGTGAGAGCAGATGAGCCCCTAAAAGTGGAGTGGGGATCCAGGCTCTTAAAGGGAATCTGGGCAATGGTGCTGGACAAACACACAGGAGGGTTGTTCTCCTGGACAAAGAATCAAAAAATCCTGGTAGGAATTGAGACACCTCAGTAGAAAGATTATCCCAAAATAGTATCTCCTTCAGTTCACTGCTGATTCCTTCTCTTCCCTGCTCCTGTTATAGTCGTGTCTTTTCTCAGCAACCAGATTCATCCTCCCTCGTTTCTGTGATAAATATGGCAGAATATGATGTCATTAATTTTCCCTGAGGGCAGAAAGGGAGGATAAAGTGTGGGAGATTTGAAAGAGGCAGGTATTCCAGTGTGGGAGTAGGGTATAATAAACAAGAGAGAAAAAAAACAAATTTTGAGCTCTTTGTAGGTAAATAAATACAGATTTTTTCAGACCTGGTGGATCTTTCTGAGCAGGCTGCCAAATGCATTGTGTGTTGGACAGGGTGGTTGTTGTTCTGCTATAAATAATTGCCATCTGTAAATGGTAAGTATGCAAAGAGGGGTCTGGATGAAAATATTTTCTTGGAAAATTTCATGTGTGACAGCTGAATTTTGGTGGTGTTGATGCAAGTTTGCTTTGTTATCCTTCCTTTAGAGAGGCAGGAGGGTGTAGCAAAGGAGGTGGTGAGAATCTTTGTTGGTAGCTGTTAGATTTCTAGGAAGATATTTTTGGGGCCTTAAGAGAAGAATAAAACAATTATAAACCACTGAAACTTCGATGTAATCGCCCTGTGCAGTGTTAGTCACTGCCCAGAAAAAGAGGGGCAGAGTGTGGGGTGTGTGTGCACACAGACAGTTGAAATCTTTGGGTAGAAATGGAATGTTTTTCCTGAGGAGAAGTTTTAGTAGGCCTGAAGTTGAGGAAGAGAAGCTTTTACAGATCTGCTGCTTCTCCTGTGGAGCCAGACTGGGAGAGCTGGGGGTTCCCCTGGAGAAGAGAAGAGTCCAGGGAGACCTGAGAGCCCCTTGCAGGGCCTAAAGGGGCTCCAGGAGAGCTGGAGAGGGACTGGGGACAAGGGATGGAGGGACAGGACAAGGGGAATGGCTTCAAGTGGACAGAGGGCAGGGTTAGAGGGATATTGGGAAGGAATTCTTCCCTGTGAGGGTGGGCAGGCCCTGGCACAGGTTGCCCAGAGAAGCTGTGGCTGCCCCTGGATCCCTGGAAGTGTTCCAGGCCAGGCTGGACAGGGCTTGGAGCAACCTGGGCTAGTGGAAGGTGTCCCTGCCCATGGCAGGGGGTTGGAACTGGATGATCTTTAAAGTCCCTTCCAGCCAACCCACCCTGTTATTCCATGCATGATCCCTTCTGACCTGTGTGATAAAGCAATAAAAAGCACTTTGGGGTGACCTGCAGAGACCTTTCCCCTCGTGCTGGGTGTGAGATCCCGCAGCCCTTTGCATGTGTTTACTCCCTGTCCCTCTCCATGTTATTCCTGTTAACAACACTAACACACCTGGCATTCCGTGCTTCCCGTGGTTCCACAGTACACTGAGGATGGGCTCTGTGGGCTTCTGCTGGAAGCATGTGCTGTAAAGCATGCACAGTGGGAACTGGGGGGAAAACTGCCACCTCCCCCCCAAACTGCCCGTGTGGAGCTGAGCCGGGGGTGTGACTGGTGTGGTCGGGTAAAGCTCTGCCCAGGGTGTTCCGTTTTGGCAGTAACTCCACTTTGGGAAGTTGTGGATGTGTGGATACCAAAACAAAGCTGTGAACCAGGAGAACACAAACATCTTCCTGCCCATGAGCCGTTCTGAGGAGCATGTTTCCTGCTGATATTTCACTGTTGCATGAGCAGAAATATCACGATGATCTTTTCTGAGGGTCATTAGTAAAGCGTGGAATCTGTCAATTTATTAGAAGCAATAAAAACAATATTGATCCGAGCATCTGATTTTATAAATTTTTCTACTTGGTCCATGAATATATCATGTGAAAACAGCAAGGCAGCGCTGCTGGCTGCTGCTTTCACATTCCACAGTCCTGTTCTTGTTAGTGTTGGTTTTAAATATGATTTTTAAGCAAGCACGCACCTCCAAAGCAGCTGAAACGCCACACGTTTTGCTGTGTGATGGAAACTTCTAACTCATCTTTTTCTTTTCCAGCTTGTACTTCCAGAGTACCTCATCCATGCATTCTTCTGTGTCATGTTTCTCTGTGCAGCAGAGTGGCTCACACTGGGTCTCAATATGCCCTTGTTGGCCTATCATATTTGGAGGTAATTCTGGTGTGGCTGTGCTCAGTGAATTGTTCTCCTTCTCCTGTTTCTGTGTCCCTGTCCCGTGTTCTGTCTTGGGAAAGCAAAGACGCTTTTTGATGCGACACCATGAAAGTTTTGTGGCTGCTCAATAAGAACCATCACTTGGCTTTGCTGGGTGTTTTTATTTTTTATTCTCTTGTGCTGTGTGAGAGTCCAGTTGTGTTGTGTGTCCTGGTATTCCTTGGGGGGTGGGGGGCAGGATCCCGTGTTTCCCATGGCCCTCATCCCACACCTCCCTGTGCCCCCGTTCCAGGTACATGAGCAGACCCGTGATGAGCGGCCCGGGGCTCTACGACCCTACGACCATCATGAATGCAGATATTTTAGCCTATTGCCAGAAAGAAGGATGGTGCAAATTAGCATTCTACCTTCTATCCTTTTTTTACTACCTATATGGGTAAGTTTTTTTCCCCCTCAGCCTGAAGTTTTGGCTCAGTGCACCAGAGAAATATTGTACACAGGGATATATTCCTTCAGTGCCTGAATGGAGCCTGCAGGGGAGCTGGAGAGGGACTTTGGACACAGGCATGGAGTGATAAGGCTTGGGAATGGCTTCCCACTGCCAGAGGGCAGGGTGAGATGGGATATTGGGAAGGAATTCTTGGCCGTGAGGGTGGGCAGGTCCTGGCACAGGTTGCCCAGAGGAGCTGTGGCTGCCCCTGGATCCCTGGAAGTGTCCAAGGCCAGGCTGGACAGGGCTTGGAGCGACCTGGGCTGGTGGAAGGTGTCCCTGCCTGTGTCAGGGTGTAGAACTGGATGATCTTCAAGGTCCCTGCCAACCCAAACCATTCTGTGACTCTGTGATAAAGTGTTTATACAGTGCCAACTTTTCTGACAAGGAAATCACAATCACCATGAATTCCATTTCAGGCACAAGTCCTAATTTGGTGAGAATTACTCTTTTGAGTCTGAATTCCTTTACTGGAGACTGGAAAGCTCCAAGCTTTTCTTCTTTTAAGCATAATGTAACAAACCCTCAGAGCATTTCCATTAGGAAGCTGAAACATTAGTATTTTTAGAGTAAAGTATTTGATGTATACATGATTTTTGTTGAAGAGTCATTGTGTCAAATCTTCAGTCTCAATCCACATATCTCACATGAACCTGTTCCTTAAAATGTACATTAAATGTGTAACACTGATCAAAGTGATGCATGTTCATCTTTTTATTTTCTTTTGCAGCATGATTTATGTCCTGGTGAGCTCTTAAGAAGACACTCAGCAAGCTTTGTTCCAGTTAAGTGCATGCAAAAGCCACAAAAACCATGGATTCTTTACAACGAGAACCTCTGACCAAGAATTAAATCCGGAACCCAACGATCGCAATTGCGTTAGAAAACAATGCCTCCCCTCTTTTTAAAATGTTTCCACATTTGACACTTGTGGAAAGACTGTTTTCTTATATTTTACTGGGACGCTGAAATTAAAGAATTACGTGTAAATTAATATAAAGGTGACTGGGGTTTGGAAAGTTTTGACTTTGCACTGCATAAGGAACAGCCATAACCTTGGAGTAGCTGTTGGTTACTGCTAGCCTTAGGACACTAGGGAATTGCTGTAGGCTGGGCTTTGTAGTGGCTCACTTGGACTTGTGTATCCCACTCTTAACTCTAAATCAGCTGTAGCTCCGAGTGCTTGGGAAGGAACTGGAATGCTCTGTTTTGCCCGTAGGTGACGTTGGTCTTAGGATATGAATTCATGGACACAATTGCAAAAATAGTTCTATTTTGGTTTGGGTTTTTGGTTTTTTTCTGTCTGGTTAGTCTTTCCCTGTTTGTGCATGGTCCAGGTCCTTCTGTGTGTCCTCCAAACATTAGCCCTGCTTTAATCTCGTGTCATTGTGATAGGAGAAGCTGAATTGTCCATGGAGGAATGAATTTAAATGACTTTTTTTTTTTTTTAAATGTCTGTGCTGTCTGATTAACAAATGGATGAACCTCCAACATTTACCAAGTCCAGCAATGAAAATACTCTTGGGTTTAAGAGTAATAAATACTCCAGACTTTTTTCAAAGCAGAAAGTGAGATTGTGAAACTGCCCCGCTGTTCCTTAGTGCAATAAATGACAATAAAAAACAAATCTCAAATTCAGCAACACCTCCTTTCATCTGGTGCCTTGGTTTGTTTTTAAATTGGGCAGATCCTCGCTGTGTCCATCGCTCAGCTTTACATGGATAATTGCATCCCCTCTAAGAATAGGACATGGAATCAAGCTATGTCTGGAAAAGGGAAGATGTTTCACATAAATACTGTAAATTGTGACTGCAAACAGCTGCTTAGTTTACGAGTGATAATTAGGAGTCTTTGTCATTTACCTGTGCTGGAGAACAATGCAGAGTTGCCCAGTTCTAGTAAAGCTTTTTTTTTTTGTATGAACTGTGTATTTGTTCACTTTGGGTCTCTGGGGTGTCAGAGGCAACAAAAGTTGTACCAGTGTTTGCTTTGGGGTCCATCAGAAATCCAGGTATCCCAGTACTGGTGTGCTGGGCAGTGGAACAGCTGGGGAAGAATAGTATGAGACAGGGCAGGTGCTGAACATCTCTGCCTGAGGAGGGAGAGAGCGGTTGGGAATTTGTGTTGCAGGTGTCCTGGAGAGCTCTGGCATCTTAAACAGCCCTGAAGGGCTTTTCTGCCATCAGCTCAGTTGCTTTCCGAGCACTTTTATAACCTGGTGTGGGAGATCCCAGAACCCCAGAACGGTTTGGGTTGGAAGGGACCTTAAAGACCATCCAGTTCCAATGCCCTTCCATGGGCAGGGATACCTTCTACTGTCCCAGGTTGCTCCAAACCTCATCCAACCTGGCCTTGGACACTTGCAGGGATGGGGCAGCCACAGCTTCTCTGGGCAACCCCAAGAAAGTGAGTTCTGTGGTGGAATTATTTACTGTGTAAAAATGCTTGTTCAACAGTTCTGCCAGATATCATTTGGTGCCCCTAAACTCCTATTTTTTTAGGACATAATGAAAATTTCCATGTTATTTATGCTGGGTGTGAGTGATCTGTCCAAGCAGAGAATTCTGCTTAATCTCTTCCTGGTTGGAATCCCTCCTGCAGCTTTGGGACTGTCCTTTCTCCTTCACAAATTTTCCCTGTTCCAGGCTATTACCACACCAAGTTTGGGTGCCCAGGGGATGCAGAGTGGCAGTTTCCTCCCCTCTGCTCTGAATTCCAATTTTTATAATGTACTGGGGCTAAGAGATGTCAGGCTGTGCTAACTCTAAATCATCTTCCTGAAGGAAGAATAGTCCTGAGAGCTTATGGCTATGTACATAAAATTGCTTTTCTGATTGTCATTATTTTTGGAATTCCAGGAGGCAAAAGATTATGGAGAGAATAAAGAACATTTCTCTCCCTGTCAGCAAGTTTCCTGCTGAGTCACAGGATAAATACTTAATATCTGAAACCCATCAGCTGCAAGGATTAAACACCGGGGCACATTTGGAGCAGAGTATTTTCTCTAAATGGAAACTGGAAGAGTTCCTTTGTCTGCTGTAGGAGTAGAGAAGGGAATGACAGTAAAGACTAATTAATCTGTAGAAATTCACCTTTAAACCTGCGCTCGAGTGTCTGGGTTTAAACATATTAAAGAGAGAAATTTAAATTCAAGTGGGTTCTCCTTCCACTCAAAGCCACCAGTGCTGTGGTGGAGTCTCATGTCACAACTGTCCTGAAAAATCCAAGTTTTATCAAAAGCTGCCTGTTCATCTTCCCTTTCTGAGTGGATGTAGTGGAAGACGAGGGATGGGCACTGTTGGAGCAGTGTTCCTGTGGGATTCTCTCAGCTCACAGCGGATTGTTTGTTTACTTTCCCTGCTGTCAGCAGGCAGAAGGGCTGTGCCAGAGCCTCACCCACGCAGCTACAGCAGTGTCTCTTCCCGGCAGTCACCTCAAAACCCACCTGTTGGGCTTGTCACAGATCTTTGGTGCAACACCTCCTACCTGTGGAATGAGGGCACCCATTCCTGAATATTCCTGAACACAGGGACCAGAAATGTGACGTTTTAGAACGAGTTCTTACAGCTCCTAAGGGGTGAGCCCTCCAGCCTGGCTTTGCTGTAAAGCAGAGCTGAGGGTGTTTGTAAACAGCTCCAGTGATGTAATTCTTACCCAGCTCCATTATCCCAACGTGACTCCAGATTATTACGTGGAAAACCAGGCATGCAGGCCACCAGACCAGCAGTGAGCACAACCACACTTGCACAGGTATTTTTCAGGCAGTGATATTAAAGTCATCGGGGAGAGGGAGATGCTGCACATCCTGCAGGATCCCCAGCCCCACCCCAGTGTTTCCCACCCGGATTTGGGAGGGAGCAGCCGTGTCCTCCCCCAGGCAGGAGCAGTGAGGAAGTGAAGGTCAGGGGAGAGGTGTCCAATCCGTGTGTGCTCCACAGACACAGAGATGCCCAGGGCAGCTCCAGCTACCGTGATGCCGATCTCGGCACCGTGTCCGTCGTTGCCAGGTGTGCAGCCAAGTTCTCCCGGAACTCGTGGAGGAAATTGTACTGCTGGAAAAGCACAACCAGATCTGCAGTGAGTGCTCTGTGCTGTCAGAAGCATCAGCAGTCTTAAAAATCTCTTTGATACCCCAGGATGAAAACTGCACCCTAGAGTCTGGTTTGTTCTTCTTGTGCTTAATCCAACCCTCTGGAATTTTTCACTGGATCTTGGCTTGGATCCCACGGTTCCCCATCAAGGGCTCCTGTGAGCCCAAGGTAATGCAAAACATGGTCCTCATGGGTGGGAGCAGAGTGTCAGAATTCAAAGCTGCTTTATTTTGCATCATGGAATGATTTAGGTTGGAAAAGCCCTCCAAGATCATAAAGTGCAACCATTCCCCAGCACTGCCAAGGCCACCAGTGACCCACTGTCCCCAAGTGCCACATCCACATGGCTTTTAAATCCCTCCAGGGATGGGGACTCCACCACTGCCCTGGGCAGCTGTGCCAGGGCTGGACAACCCTTTCCATGAGGAAATTTTCCCTAATATCCAACCTAAACCTCCCCTGGCACAACCTGAGGCCATTTCCTTTTGTCCTGTCACTTGTTCCCTGGGAGAAGCTGCTCAGCAGCATCAGCAGGGAACAGCTCAAACTCCGGGGAGAAGCTGTGGAGCACGTTGGAAAGACAGAGGGATCCCTTTGGGAAGGGAAAGGGAAAGGGAAAGGGAAAGGGGCTGGCCGAGCTGTCCCTCGAGTTTGGACACTCGAGTGTGTCCCCTGCTGCAGCCCCGTTACCTTGATGGTCTGTATGGCCCCGGATCCCCTCAGGTTCCTGAGGCTCTCTATCACCTGCTGAGGTGCCAGCGTGTCCGACAGCTGGAGCAGGAGACAGGCAGCCACTGCAAGGGAAAGGTGTGAGCACATGGATGCAGAGCCACAGGTTTGTCCCAGGAAAACCACCCCAGCAAAACTCCTGTCAGGGTCACACATCTGCTGGGTTTTCTTCCTGAATCCTGTTTCTGGGCACTGACCCATCTGTTCCTGCTCCTGCCTAAGGTTTCCTACAGGCTTTGGAAACACCCTTTTACCCTGCCTTCCTAGCAGCTCTTGGGATGCAATTCCTAGGCTTTTCAAGAATGAGTGCCAGTACACCCAGTTAATTCCCCTTTGTGTCTTCTGGCTGTATCACCACCCCTTCCTTCTGGGTCCCACCGGGAACTAATGCTCCTGGAACACTGGGATGAGGGAAGATGCAGAAGGACAGGTCCATCCCCTTTACATTAAGATGAGTTCTTACCGAGACAGGAGCGCCCGAGGCCACCGTAACAGCTGGGAGAGAAGGAAACATCTGGTTGTAACAAGCTGTGGGAAACTGCAACACCCAGAGACCTCCCAGAGCATAAATACATGGACACAATTCCCACCTCAGTATCATCGAGAGCAGCAGTGCCACAAGGGAGTCAACAAGAATTTCTGTGTATTTTCGATATTCTATTTCTATACCTACAGGGATACCTCCTATTTGTTCTCCAGATCTTCCTTATGTGTCTTTCCAGAGAAACTCCAGTTTTAAAGTTCCCCTTCATTCCTGGTAACAGTCCCAAAGGCACAGGGGGGGCAGAAAATGGCACGAGGATGGACACTCTCAATTTTCTTTAGATCCTACTCCAGATCAAGGTTTTGAGGAGAGCTGTGAGGACAGCAGGGTCCTGCACCAGCAGGAAAACCAAGGACTCAGTGGATGGATGTCAGCTGGGTCATTCAGGGAACATGGAACTTGGAAAGCTCTCCCCCATGAGCTCAGCTACAGGTGTCTAAATAAATTACTTTAAACCAGTTTGATGCAATTTAAGAGGGAATTTTGCACTGCTGGAACCCACTGAGTTCCTAATAAACAGCCTGTTACACAATCATAGAGTGGTTTGGGTTGGAAGGGACCTTAAAGACCATTCCAACCCCCTGCCATGGGCAGGGACACCTTCCACTGGACCAGGTTGCTCCAAGCCCCATCCAACCTGGCCTTGGACACTTCCAGGGATGGAGCAGCCACAGCCTCTGACATAGAGCTGGTTTAACTCACATCTCCTGCGGCACACCTGGTATCCAGGTAGGCTGGGAGCAAGGAGAAATGGGACATTCTAATCTTAAAAAGGACAAGTTCTCTCCAAAAAGGTGGAGAAGGAGGAACAAGCAGCTTTTCACAGCTTGAACTAACCCCAAAGACTGCAATTCCCATTTCATTTCAAACCACTCTGTTTCACCTGCTTATACATCTAACCAGCACCTACTGTATCATTGTTTTCCGGTTATTTTCCAGGCAGCTTCTGAGCTCTTCCAGGATTTTGCAGCACGTGGCGATGTCAGGAGCGTTCCCATCAGGAATGGGATGGTGGTGCACGCACATCCCGTGCTGTTGGTAGGTGTCTATCAGGTTTGGCACTCGGTATTTTGAGAGCTCTCCTCTGGTACAAAGCACAAATATGTCCTGGATCCCAGAGTTCTTCAGTTCTCCTGCCAATGGATGGATACACTTGCAAATAAACAAAAGCCTCTCGAGCCCAAGGATACTCAGATAAGCTGGTTGGTGTTGGGCCTTGTTTAATCTCTGAGGTTAAGACAACAGCAGGGAGAAATTTTGCTTGGAGCGGCATTTCCTGCCCCTGAGTCTCTCCCACGTTTGCCTTCAGATAATCCAGGTGAGGAGTTTTCTCAATTCAGAGGGAGCCTCACTGGGAAGCCCATCAGCACTCAGGAGAGCATGTTAACTAATAAAGCACATTCCTGTCCCATTGCCAGCTTAAAATCACTGAACCCCAGAATGTTTGGCTTGGAAGGGACCTGGAAAGATCATCCTGTTCCACCCCCTGCCATGGGCCTTCCACCAACCCAGGTTGCTCCAAGCCCCATCCAACCTGGCCTGGGACACTTCCAGGGATCCAGGGGCAGCCACAGCTTCTCTGGGCAACCTGTGCTAGGACCTCCCCACCCTCACAGGCAGGAATTTCTTCCCAAGCTTCACTTATCCAAACACTGTGGGGTTTTTGCTATTAGTCTCTGCCCTTCTGGTGCTCACAGATGAATTCTCAGCACAAACCTTCACATAATCCCATCTTTCTATCCCAACCTCACTTCCCTCTGGGAAGGGGATATCACAAGTTTGTAATTCATCCTGATCCCAGCTGCTTTAAAGATGCCTCGTGGTTCCTGTGCAGGACACACAGATGCCTGTGTAGCTGCAGCCTGGAAATACCCCAACTATTTATCCCATATTTCTAGGGAAGCCACAGGGGAGGTGGCCCTGGCCCATCTAAAAGTGATCTGTGGCTGTGCCAAGATATTTGCTGCAGCTGCACCTTTTTCTTGCCCTTCACACTTACACACTGGCCAGAAGACTCACCTACATCCTTCTGGAGATTCCTCCTGACATCCTTAAATCTGCAACCTGAAACAAACCATGGACAACAATTCCCACTCCAGGTAAGTGACATTTATGGAGTGGCTCAGGCAACCTCCCCCCAAAAACAAGAGCAAGCAACGAAGCCACACCCCAAGCAAAGCACAGGTTTTTATTTTTTGCAAGTAGATCCCTGGCACAGGAGGCAGTTTAAGCACCATTATCTGCTTAATGCTGTAATGTAATAGGATTAAAAGAAGAAATCTGCCCAAGGTTTTAAGCTGCTTTGGGTTTTCCAGATAAAAAAGTTTGGGAAATTTTAAATCAGGGTAAAGCATAAAAAGACACAACCCCAAAAAAAACCCCAAACAATCCAACAAATAAAAGGGGTGGATAAAAATCAGTTAAGAGTTGACTGGTCTGGTGACCACAGGAGATTCACCATGGCTGCAGGTTTGGTAGTTAAAAATACAGTGAAAGCTTGTATGTTTATTCTATATATTAAAAACATGTGGTCTTATGTTAAGATATTCCACAGATCTGCTTTGGTGCTTCCAAATAAGTCACCCACAACATAGAATTTTGGGGCACAAGGTATTACCCCTCTCCAGCTTTCAAACATGCAAACTTCAGGGAATGCTTCTTACCTGGAAGGGAGCATAATCCCAGGAACTTGGAAGGGTAGAGAGGAGACAAAGACAACCTATCAGAAAACAAAAAAGAAACATAAATCAGCAGAATTGCAGAATGCAAAAAGATTCCAGGTGAGTATTTCATGGAACTCGAGGGGAATTTTCCACAGGTGCCTTGTGCAGACTCCTTGTGCCTGTGTCTGGATCAGATGTGCCAGGGATACTGCTCCCTAAATTCTTCAGTGCTTTAGGTTTACAAGTGACTGTCATAGTGTATTAAATCATATATAGATCCAAGTTAAATTGTTAATAGGTTAAGTGTTAAGAGTTAAGTTATAAATTGGTAGATTAAGTTAAGTCATAAGTTAAGTGTTAAGTTAATGGTATTAAGTGTTAAGTTATAAGTTAAGTGTTGTGAGGCCTTTGGGCTGTATTCCTATTTGTCCTTAGACCTTCTATCCTTTTGTTTCACTTTCCTACCCCCCTACCTACCACAGCCTCCACAGGCATGGAGTCTCTGGGCTGGTACTGATACTGATTTTAGATTTTTGTGTGCTTTTTCTCGGTGTATTTTAACTGTTCAGTAAGTAGTAGAGTGAACCTTGCCACGCACTCTGTTGTGCCATTGCCTTTATATTAAACCTGCTTTCACTGATGCCTTTGCTGGTGATTTTTTGAGCAACCTTAAAACGCTCATTTCATGGCAAAGGGCTTAAAACTCCTCTCATTCCAACCCACTATCCAACCTTCCACTATCCCAGGTTGCTCCAAGCCCTGTCCAACCTGGCCTTGGACACCCCTAGGGATGGAGCAGCCACAGCTTCTCTGGGCAACCTTTGCCAGGACCTCACCACCCTCTCAGGGAAGAGCAGAGCCCTGGAACTGCCCAAGGAAGCTGTGGAGTCTCCTGCCCTGGAGACATCGAAAACCCACCCGGATGACCCTGCCTGAACAGGGGGGATCGGACTGGGCGGGTTCCAGAGGCCCCTCCCAACCCCACCCACTCCCACTGACAGTTCCCCGGCACCGCTTTAATCCCACCCACCCACAACCCGGGCAGGTCACCAGAGCTCCTCTTTGTCAGACCAGGGGTTTAATGCAGTTTCCTGACGGGAGGGACCCGCGCGGGCTGCGCCTCACCAGGAGATGTGGAGCGGGCTCGAGTCCTCCTCGGCGGCCTCGTCGTCTGAGGAGGCGAAGCCGTCGGCGGGCGCCGCGCGGGGCTGGGGGGAGAGCGAGGAGCTCAGCTGGGGGACGGGACCCTCGGCTGTGCCCCGGTCCTCATCCCGATCCCGATCCCGATCCCGATCCCGATCCCGATCCCGATCCCGATCCCGATCCCGATCCCGATCCCGATCCCGATCCCGATCCCGGTCCCTCACCGGGTTCACCATGGCGGCGCCGCCACCCGTTCGAACTGGCCCCGCCCACCGCCGCACCGCCCAATGGGAAGCTGCGGCTCACAGGGTGCGTGAGAGCCAAGCGGGCCTCCCCCGCTGCCGCATGAGAGGAGCGCTCTGATTGGTGGGCGAGGGAGGGGGGCGGGCTTTAAGAGACAAGCAGAGCGGCCGGCTGTGGTGATCTTCGTCCTGATTGGTTGAGGGTCTCGCGCCCCGGGTGGCCGTTATGGGCGGGGCTTCGTGAGGGAGCGCTCGCGCCCGTCCCGCCCCGCCCGCCCTGTTCCATTTTAATCCCTCTTGGATGCGTTTTCACCCCTCTTCGTATTCCTGATAGTCGTAAGGCCCTGGCACAGGTTGCCCAGAGAAGCTGTGGCTGCCCCTGGATCTCTGGAAGTGTCCAAGGCCAGGTTGGGCAGGGCTTGGAGCAACCTGGGCTAGTGGAAGTGTCCCTGCCCGTGGCAGGGGTTGAATGAGGTGATCTTTCAGGTCCCTTCCAAGCCAAACCATTCTGTGATTCCATGATAAAACACGGAGGTGGATGTGAGCCTTCCGTCCTAGCACACTGAAGAGTAAGGATGTGCTTAAGCAGGTGCCCTGCAGAGTTTTTGGGGTGATAGTTCTGTGTGCAGCAAACGGGGCTTTCTAATGGCACAAACCGAGCAATCCTTCCTCTCTTAAACCACGAGCTTAATGTCAAATGTTCTTCTCGTGGTCCTGTTTTCCATTTTTCTGTGCAAATAGGTGTTAGGGCTATTGCATGGAATTTTTACCTGAATTTAACTAAGGTGGAGCTTTTACCTGACTTTGACTTTAACCATCATGGAGCTTTTACCTGAATTTAATTAACAGGAATGATGGTTCCAGGGGGGAAAAGAAGATTTTTGGCTGCCTCGCTTGTAAGAGCGGGTCTGTTGCTTGTGCTCTGGGCATTCAAATGGATCTCTTTTTGCAGCATTTTTCTTGATTCCTTCAGTAACTCTGGCTGTTAAATTAACAGAAAGAAATGCATAAATCGGTAGTGTGGGATTTTGGTTTCTAAAATTACTGTAAGGCAATTCTGCAACCTGTGTGTTTAGACACACGCAGAACGAAGTTGTGAAGGAGCCAGGCACAAAGAGGGGTTTTTGGCATCAGTTTAGGCAATAATGTCCCGGGGACTTCCCAGGATGTTGTTTGAAGTGAAGGGAATGCCTGGGCACAAGTGGTTCGAGTTTTGGTGGGATTCCCAGTAGGGCCAGTGCAGGATCTCCAGGTGTGGAGAGTTTGGATTTTAGTTCTGCCTTAGTAACTTTACTCCCACAGCTGGAGGTTTTAATGAGACCTGCCTGAGAAGGATTGTCAGAACAAATTGCTTGGAATGGCAGGATTTAGGATGGGTTCAGGGAATGAAGAAGCAGATGATGGGAGGATCAAGGAGAGGACCAGTTTATTAAAACCCCGAATATGATAGCAGAGGTACAAAAATTACATTATTGAGCAGAATGGAGAATTAAAACAATCCAGATGTTGCAGATCAAGATGAGCAATGGGAAGAATTAACATCCAAAGGATTGAGGCAACGCGAGGACAGCCAGTCACTGTGGCTGTAAACATCATTTTAATAACTCCTACAGCCACTGCATGGAGGAACAGGTATGCTGTTTGCTTTTATTTTTAGCTCTGGTGCCTTTAGAGATGGTGCATCCTTAATAAAGGTGTGAAATTTGCTGTATTTTTATTCCCCTTGGGATTGATTCTGCCTATTGAGGAGAAAGGTATTGCAGACTTGAACTCTGGTGATCATACCTTTATGGAAGCAGCAACATCAGACTGATAAATAAATGAAATAACAGCAACAATGGTAATGCTGCTGGTTGTTCTTTGAACAGATCAAAGGAATTCTCTGGAGTTTGGGTGCCTTCACGTGGCAGAAATCAGAATGATGTTGCATGGAGTCTGTGGCAGAAATAAATAGGGATCATCTGTAGGTGGGAAACCTAAAATAAATGCAGGAAAAAAAATTGGGAAAATGAGAAAAAAAAATCCAAACTTGAGGAAGTCCTGTGAGTGTCCTTATTACCCTTGGCATCTGGCAGAATTAAATGGCAAATGTTTGGAGCTGATTACCTGTTAGCGTTTTCTGTTTATTTCCAAAATTGAGCAGTTGTCCAGCACATCAAATTGGGATGTGCAAAAGCTTATTTATGGTGTATTTTATAGGAAAGACTAACACGAGGTAGTTTTCTGCCAAAAAGTGTCCTTTTGTCAAATAAAAAGGGAAGCAACGACACCCGAGGCTTTACCTTCTGGAAGTTTCTGTCAGTTTGTAGATTGGGTGCCTGTGGAATGTGAGGTAAAGTAGCCACAGATAAGGGCTGAAATATGTAGTTTGGGAGATATAATTGGTGACATTCAATTGGTGATTTAATCAGAATTTTAACTGGGCTTTTAGACTAATTTGTTGGGGCAGAAGCTGCTGTTTATGGATATCTAATGGGAGGGTCTAAAAAAGATGGAGCTAGAGGGGTGTGTACCAGAAAGAGAAGAGATGATGGACAAGAGTTGGAACGTGGGAAATCTTTATTTCATATAAGAAAATAGAGTTTTATTGTGAGTGTGGACAACAACAAGAAATGGAGTGGTAATTTTGAGCTTATGTGTAGCTGTTTGGGGTTATGAGTTTGGTTTTTTTGTTGCCTTTCTTTTAAGAGATAATAACGCTTATGTTACAAGACACAGGGCACTGATGCCTCTAATGCAACAATAAATACCCTCCCAGAAATATTAAAAAATATTCCCAGTGAGGAAGGGGTGAAACAGCAAGATGATCTGTGGAAAATTCCTGTGTCCCAGGCTTTAAATACGTGTGCACAGAATGGGGTTGTGGCCTGGCAGCAAAATCTGTGAATAAAACATGTAATGTGAGAAAATGGTGTGTGAAAATCCCGACAGGTCTGGTGGGTCGGCAGGGAGTGGTGCTTGCTTTGGGTCTGTAATTTAAGAAGGATATAAAGCTGTAAGTGTCCAAAGGAGGGCCCTCATTCCTGGGGACAGCAGAGGGCTGCATGGACATGTAGCATCTTCCCTCTGCCATTCTGCACTCAGGTTTCACAAATAAAATAAATAATTGATTAAATTCAGATAAAAGCTTGGCATGAACCAGCGTGTGTGTGTGGCAGAGACAGCTGGGGACTAGTGTGAAACAGGGAGTGAAGGAACTTGATGGTGTATCACAGATAAACCTTGAAAAAAACAAACCATGTCCTTTTCCTGCAAGGAGCCAAAACCGGATCAGGAGTGTCCAAACCATCAAAATAATTTTAAGAACGTTGGTAACTGATTACTCCAAACAACCATCTGTAATACCAAAAACTTGTTAGTCACCTCTCAGTTGGTATCCCTGTTTCTGGAAGTTGTATTTTGGTTAAACTAATTAATACATGTGGTGTTCCAGGAGAGGCACTGTAATGCCTTTGGGAGTGCTCCACTGGTGATATCACCACGAGATCCCACTGGGAATCATTGCACTTTTCCAGATTGTTTCTTATGGAGGGAGAAAATAATAGGTGGAAGAGAGTTTTCAAAAATTTCAACAATCTTCTTTTTTTTTGCCTCCCCTTCACTTTCAATTGTCTGCTTGTAGAAAATGGAACCACTGCATTATAAGCCATACATTGCACCCCACCATGAGGATATGAATGGAAAATTCCTGTTCTGTGAGATAAAATTGTGTCATGTTTGGAGAAACACTTGTAACTTGAGACACAAAATAAACTTGTTAGGACGGCAAAGCACAATGTTGGGAGATTCTGTAGATTTTCCACATCATTAGTTCTTCAGCCACACTTGAGTTTTTGTTTGGAGTTTGTGCTCAAACTGTGCTAAAAAAACCCCACTGACAGAAATCTCTGTGAGTGGTGATTGCTCTGAGCCAAAGTGTTTGTGAGGTGTGTTATTTCAGAGGAACAAGTGACTCCCCTCCTGCTCCAAATTGTCTGAGGGAACTTTTTATACCTCATGTGCGTGTGGGTTTTTCTTGCTTTCCATCACCACCCCAGTATGTTGGTGGCAGTTACAGACTTGGGTTTGTGGATTGTTTTGCCAGGAGAGCTCTGTGGAGCTGGAGTTGCGAGACAAGACAGAGGGACAGAAGCTCTGTCTAGCCCTATAAATCCTACTTGTTTGTTGAATTAAAACCAGCACTGAATTTTGGCCCTAAAGCTGGTGATGGAAAAACAGTGCTTTATGTAAATAAAGTGGTTTTTATTGACCGGTTTATGATGGTGACTGGCAATTGTTAGTGGAGATGAACTTCTGTGTTTCTAGGCAGGGTGCTGCCCTGCTGTTATTGAGACTGATGACGTATCAGGATACATTGACTTGAAGTCTTCAATAAATCCCTGTTTATTTTGGATCGAAATTTGAAGCTTTTTATAGCTACAAAGAAGTTCTAGTGCTGTCTGGAGTCAAGAGTTGTACTGTCCTGTGCAGCTGATTCAAGATGGTGCATGTTTCTTGTTCTCCTATTTTTTTTTCTCTGTTAACTACACAAAAGTGGTAAAGCAAATCTCTGTAATGGTACTTTTTGTTTTGTTTCCATGACTCGTTGCTTCTGTATGTGACCTTGAAGCATCTGTTTTAATGAAATAATTATTTAAAAGCTAATTTCTCCTCACTGCATGATTACTTTTGTATTTCAGGCTGAAATTGCCTGCTGAATGAAAAAAAAAAAACAAACCACCTCGAACCCCAAACTAGAAATGGTTGTAACTTAGTTTTTAGCACAATGTGGCTTGATTATAACTTGACGGAGTCTCACCAGAATACAAGTAATAATTGGTAATTCCAGTACCTGAAGGGAACCTACAAAAAAGACAGAGAGAGACTTTTTACAAGGGCCTGGAGTGACAGGACAAGGGGGAATGTCCTCCCGCTGCCACAGGGATAGATGGGTTATTGGGAAGGAATTCCTGCCTGTGAGGGTGGGGAATGAGAATGGTCTTTCATGTCCCTTC